TGTAGGTTTCGGTGCTTCCTCCTCCAATCAGGGTAGCAACCTGCACTTTGGGTAACTCTTGGAGGGGCATTCGAGTTTATATTCCTCGGCCGCCAGGACTTCAGTCCATCTGTCAGCTAGCAAATCTTGATCAGCTTGAAGCTGCTACTGCTTTTTCTTAAGGTTTGCCGTGGCTATAAGCCGGCGCTTGAAGTGCTCTTGTTCGACAGGATCCTCTGACACGAGGAATTCGTCATCGTCGAGGCTTGCCTCGTCTTCGGAGGGAGGCATGTAATTATCATCCTCCGCCTCTCCATTTGCCGCTCTCTCAGGAGGGCTGGCTTCTCCATCCTCCTGCTCTAAATCTTGCTGGAGGGGATTGTTGTTGCCTTCAGCACTGTCCGAGGTGCTATTATCTCCGGTGCCGGTATCACCACTTTTGCCTTGGCGGGACTTAGAGCGGCGCCGCTGACGCCGGTGCTTGGGTTGCTTCTTGGAGGGGTCATCCTTCGTTGTCCCATCGCCATCGCCTTCTTTGGGTGTGTCCACGATGTATATGTCATATGATGAGGTGGCTATCCAGTGCCCTGTGGGCAGTGGCTCCTCTTCGCCTCCCACATCGTCGTCCAGACTGTCGATGTCTTCGGAGTCGAAGTCAAGCATGTCGGTTAAGTCATCAACAGTGGCTACTAAGTGGCTGGTGGGTGGGCGGCGAATTTCTTCGTCATCCGCATCCCAATCCTGTCGGACGTAGTTCGGCTAGGAATCTCCTGACAAGGAGAGAGACCTTAATGAGTTCAGTATGTCGCCAAAGGGCGAGTGCTGAAAAATATCCGCGGAGGTAAACTCCATGATCGGCGGCCAATCGGATTCGACAGGAATGGGCGCAGACGGTTCAGAGTCCATGGCCGGGGAAGGATCCGGCAGTTTGGCAACACGGCTCTTGTGAAGGGTAAGGTCGATATTCGGCTCAATCGCCACGGAGGATACGGCCTCCGTGGCGGGGTCTATCCACCCGTCCATGGATGGCGCAACTGGCTCCGAATTGAGGGTCGGAGCGGCTGCCGGTGCGATTTCTTGAACACTATCTGACGGTAGAGCTAAATCGTACTCATCATGACCGCATGGCGCACAAGGCAAGGGCTCGAATCCGTCGAAGATCAAGTCTCCGCGGATATCGGCCGTGTAGTTTAAGCTTCCAAACCTGACCTGGTGGCCAGGGGCGTAACTTTCGATCTGCTCCAGATGACCAAGCGAGTTGTCCCGCAGTGCGAAGCCGCCGAACACAAAGATCTGTCCGGGGAGAAAAGTCTCACCCTGGACTACATCGCTATCGATGATCGTAGGAGCCATCAAGCCTAACGGCGACGACACAGAGGAACTCTCAATGAAAGCACCAATGTCGGTGTCAAAACCGGCGGATCTCGGGTAGGGGGTCCCGAACTGTGCGTCTAAGGCGGATGGTAACAGGAGGCAGGGGACATGATGTTTTACCCAGGTTCGAGCCCTCTTGATGGAGGTAAAACCCTACGTCCTGCTTGATTTATTCTTGATGATATGAGTATTACAAGAGTTGATCTACCACGAGATCGGAGAGGCTAAACCCTAGAAGCTAGCCTATGGTATGATTGTATGTTGTCCTATGGACTAAAACCCTCCGGTTTATATAGACACCGGAGGGGGCTAGGGTTACACAAGGTCGGTTACAAAGGAGGAGATATCCATATCCGTACTACCTAGCTTGCCTTCCACGCAAAGTAGAGTCCCATCCGGACACGGGACGAAGTCTTCAATCTTGTATCTTCATAGTCCAATAGTCCGGCAAAAGGATATAGTCCGGCTGTCCGGAGACCCCGTAATCCAGGACTCGCTCAGTTGGGTTTCACGACCTTAATGATCGTTAGTAGTTGCGGATCATAAGTGCATATGATCCAAGTAGAGAAAGTATGTTAGCACATGCCTCTCCCTCATGTAGAATTACAAGAATGATTACAGGTACTTGTTATCGATTGACTAGGGACAAATGACTTTCTTGTTGACAAAAGCTATCCACTTTTATTACCTTGCAATTTATTCATAGCTTTATTCTTGCAAACCTGTAGTTTTATCCTTGCAAAATAGTTTCATACTTATTTCCGGTAAAGCAAACGTCAAGTGTGCGTAGAGCTGTATCGGTGGTCGATAGAACTTGAGGGAATATTTGTTCTACCTTTAGCTCCTCGTTCGGTTCGACACTCTTATTTATCGAGGAAGGCGACAAACGACCCCCTATACTTGTGGGTTATCAAGACCTTTGTTTGGCGCTTTTGCCGGGGAGCAATAGCATGGGGTGAATATTCTCGTGTGTGCTTGTTTGCTTTATCACTAAATTTCGTGCTCTTGTTTTCTATCTCTACTTATGGGTCGGAAACACAAAATACCAAAAAATTAGTTGTACCTACTAAACCAATGGTTGAAGAACCACCCAAAATCTATCATACTACTGGAGCTTTCTATTTGGATCATCTTTGATCCATTTGTGCTCGTGTTGAAAACCCAACTAGCTTAGTTGAGGAAAAATCATTAAATGAGCATGCTTATTTTGTGCGACACCGCTTATATCAAAAAGGGAAACTTTTCATGGCATCATATTAATAGTTTGTATTGCTATGCTTTGAATTTATGTGAAATGCATGATTTTACTTGTTGTTCCGAAGACCCTAAGAAACACCTTTTCTTCCAATGTGAGTTTAAGGATAATGAAATCTTATCTTCTTATGCCAAGGGTGTTTATAATTACTTTGATATTGAACAAATTGAAGAATTTGTTGCTTTTATGGGTGCCTATGAAGTTGCTTCTTTGATTGATTCTTTACAAATCTGAAAATTTTGCCATACTTAAATATTGCTATGCGAATTATTCTTCTAATGCTTATATTAAACCATATATCGACGACTTCTCCACTGTCCAAGAAGAGATTGATATTTTGCAGGAATCTATGGAAGAAGAAATTGATGAAACTATGAGCTCATTGGATGAAAAAGATGATGAGGAGAGCGAAGAACAAAAGGAGGAAGAGCGGATTAGCTACCCGTGCCCACCTTCTAATGAGAGTAACACTTCAACTCATACATTGTTTAATGTCCCTTCGTGCTTACCGAAGGATGAATGCTATGATAATTGCTATGATCCCTTGGATTCTTTTGAGATATCCCTTTTTGATGAACTTGATGCTTGTTATGCTTGTGGCCAAGATGCCAATATGAATTATGCTTATGGAGATGAACTTGCTATAGTTCCTAATGTTAAGAATGGAATGGTTGCTATTGAACCCACACATGATAGTCCTATTATCTTTTTGAATTTTCCAAACTACACTATATCGAAGAAATTTGCACTTATTAAGGATTACATTGATGGGTAGCCTTTTACCATTGCACATGATGATTTTGATGAATATAATATGCATATTCTTGCTGCTCCTACTTGCAATTATTATGAAAGAGGAACTATACCTCCACCTCTCTATGTTTCCAACACGATAAACTTGCAAGAAACTGCTTATGCTATGTATTGGCCTTTACTTGATGTGCATGAATTGTTCTTTTATGACATGCCGATACATAGGAGGAGAGTTGGACTTCATCATTTCATGATACTAGTTGACCCATTGCGCCAAATGGCGCAGAGACCCACTGAAGACATGTTGTCGATGAAAATAGTTTCATGCTGCAAGAACCTTCAACTAAACCACCCGTTGCGCCAAATGGCGCAGAGACTTGCTGATTCCATGTTAGCAATGAAAAGAAATCCATGGTTTAGTTGATATAGTTACGGGTACGCACATATGACAACAAATTTAATCTTTCTTATATGAAAAAAACAGGGCTTGTTATCAACAATTAGATGTATATAAACAATTAAATTTGGTAACATAGAGTTCTGTTTGAAACAAAATGTATGTAACAAATCTAATCCTCTTTAGTAGGAAAAACATGGTATATTTTGTTGTCTATAATGAGATGTATATACAAATTCTAATTTGGTAGCACAGAGTTATATATTCTATAAGATGTGAATGACGGACATCACATCCAGAGATATTCACATCAGCAACAAAGTTGTCTACAATTCATGTGAACGATGTGGTTCGCCGAGGCGGCCGTTTCGGGGGCGTTGATTTCTGAGGGAGTCCAGGTGGTGATGATGATAGACACTCGGTGGTTATCTGCGGAGGGCATGATCAGCGCAAGTCCTGCATATTTCCCTTGCGAAGCTCATCTTCAAAGTCGGATTTGTCAATTGTTCGCGTGTGTAGCCATCTGTTAGCATGTGGCCAGGTTGGCCGGTGGTACCCATGTTATGTGGGTTGAGTTGTATTGGTTTTAGCCCGGTTTTCCTCAATTCACCAGGCAATTCTCACTATATTCTAAGCCAATGAAAATGGAAGTCTTTTGCCTCGTTTCAAAATAATTAAATAAAACATCAGCGAGAAATAACATCCTTGGGCCAGCACCTGACTAAGTTGAAACGATATTGTTCCGCGCCTTCCAAATATGCGAAGGATATTACCGTTGTTGTCTTGGACTTGCAGCCCTTCGGGTGGCATCACTTGCCAAACAAAGGAGAGATTGGTAGGAATCGAAACACCGAGGATTGACCAAATCACAACAACAAAATTGCGATCATTTTTTTCATATATATATACATGAAGTGTCAGGTCATAGCATTGCTGAAGCAGACTAAAATTCAGGAGAATGGATGAGAATAGAAATGATGTAAAGTTGGGTCTCGGTTTAAAATGGGCATAAGAAAGTAGTATTTTAGTAGAGCTGTATCAGAATGCACAAAGGCTTAGTAACTGCAATACTAATTTACTCAAGGAAGAGCTGCACAATTTACTCAAGTAAGAGCTTCTCAATATTGTCGTCAGAACAAATTGTAATAGGATCGTGGGAATTATATGTTGATGTGTACACACCTTCACAATTATATAACTCTATGTAACAATGCACAAAGGAGTAGCAGCCACAATATTAATTTACTCAAGGAAGAACTGGTCAATTATGTCATCAGAACAAACTGTAATAGGATGGTGCAAATTCTGTAAACCTTGAATGGGGCGCATAGTACCTTGCAAAGCCTATTAACATCAAGATGTAATAAGGCAAGAGAAAAATGATTGTAACTATCTTCTAATTGTTCAAACATTTGAGAAAGCTTAGAGAATCCGTCCTGCTGCCTTTTTCTCCAATGTTCTCTTCCTTCTTTTACCTGCAAAAATGAAGCATGTTCCACAAATTGGCAAAATCAGTGTTGTTACCAACAGACTTCCATATTATAATAGGTATTCTGGAAGTATTTATGCTAACTAAATTCAGAAAAGACCAAAAGCATAATAATTTAGCAGCCCTATATAAGACTTGTTTCAATCCTCATGGTGCATCTCAAAGCCCTGCAATCGAAACTGGAACATCACTCGCACTGAAATCTCTAAACACCAGTTGATCTAAATAACCAAGCAAGTAGCAGTCCTGCACTAAAACCCCTAAACACCAGTTCAGTTATCCATATTATACACATCCCTGCGACTACAAATTCTAAAAAATGAGAAACCGGACCCTCAGCAACAACTGACATAAAGGCTAAACCAGAGCAATCAACCATTACTTCTGTCATGGCACAAAATTTCTAATAGAATCACATCTAAGAATGTCAATTGGAAGGAGAGAAAGGAACTCTAGGAATTCATGGTGGCAGATAAAGCAAATAAAATAATATTGTTCAGGAAACAAGATAATATCGGGGACATGAAAGGTTGTTCCGAGATGTTCCAGACAATCTAACAGTTAGACAGCACACACAAAAAAGGTTGAATCAAAGAGAAACTAAAAACTAGATTACAATATAAACTAGTTACCTTTTTTTTGCTTAGGCAAAGGCCGACATGAACATTAGAAACCAAATTGAACTTATATTTTTCTACGTAGTAAAAAACTGAACAAGTGTGTTTTTCATCGAAAGAAAAAAAATGCTAGGAGAGTAATATGCTTATGGTAGAATTAACACTGATAGTAGAAGAAGATACATACTGGAAATGTTGGACTAAATTTAGCCATGGGAGATATTAAAAAATTGGTGAGCATTGACAGCCAACCAAGCAAATGAAGGAATATCCCCGCCAAAATCAAGAACGGTAAATTAGCATCTAGAAGTATATAAAAACAAACATTCCGCTTAGAAGAGTGTTATCTCAGTATGATATAAATATCTATGAAAATGTACGCACTAGCTACTATTCATGGGGTGTCACCAGTAGCAAAACCCACACCCCAAATTGTAAAATCTGATGTCAGCAGCAAGATTGCTGCACAAACAAACTGCTTGAATCTAATGAATAAAGACAGGAGCATCCTAAGCGCATACAACATGATCTATGAACATAGTTTTTTTCCAAAGCATATGAATCAAATTAACAAACTAATTTGACCAACGGCTCTCGCCATCTTCTGAAGTTAATCACGGGAAATGGTTGCGTAGAGCAAAAATCCAAATCACATCAGCAAAGAAAAGCTATTTCCATGAAGTGCATTAGAAGCAGTTAGGAGAGGATGCTGCAATTTCCAAACAAAGTATAAATAGATATGAGATAGACATGAAATAAATCATTATATCTCAGACCACACTAAAGTAGAAAGAATCAAAGATATGGACATAATAAAACTAAACTTCGATTATATAAATATATGCATCAACACAGTAGCCATTCAGTTCATAGTTTACACGGGAAAGGAACAAACAACTGCATCGCTTGCCGGTTCGCTAGTGTTGTACAACTACAAATGCCAATACCTTGTTCCCTAGGACCAGCAGCATGGTGGCGTTGGATGCACTCGTCGTTGCTTGATGCGTGCGGGGCTCCCCAAGCCACACCCATGGTCACCTCTCCTGCCGCCTATCCAGCTCGCTGCACCAAGCACCACGCTCACCGGTGCTATCCGTCGACCCACATTGGTCGAGGCACCACCAGGACGCTCAATTTCGCATGGGTCTCCTTTTCCTTGTCTAAATCCCATCCGGAAGTTCCCTACAGAGAGAGAAAGAAAGAGCACCACTATTGCAGCTACCCAGGGTACTATAAATACATGGATGGAATCAAGACTAATAAATAAAAATAATAGAGTAGATAGTTTATTTAGTATATCACTTTTTTTCTTTTTAAAGGATTTAGAACAGCAGTTAGGACCAATAGAACTCAATTTTACCAATCAGGTGTTTGAGCTGATATACCAAGTTTAACTATCCATGTTTAGGGTCGTCCCATCAGGGCATTTGAAAAACTGCTATGAAGAAGAGTTAACTTCTTTAATCAACCATGTAGAGCGATGTATTTATCAAGGAACGGAACAACATTCAGAGCCGTATGAATATGCAGAAAACTACACAAATAGACAGGCAGTCAAGTTATTGTAAAGCAAAGCTCGGTTTGGGAAGGACAACTTCAATGATTTAGTAAGGTTGCAGGAGTTTAGTTATCTACCCAAAAGAGTGAACTAATATGCAGTATAAAGGCAAACTTATGGATAGGAAGGCCCATCCTAAAAATCATACAATTGAAAGGAGGGAAACACATCAAGCAAAGGAAAAAAAATCTCCTTTATAGAGGGGAAAGAAGCTACAGGACAAATCGGTCCCCTACTTGACGAGGGGTCGCTCTCTGCCTGGAGGTTCCCGCCGCCGCCAGAGAACCTTGCCTCCATGCCCGAGGATGGAGGAGGAAGCGAGCCTGGAGGCAGCTTGGGGACCAGAGCGCAGCAGCTTCGACCCTAATGGGCATGCGCCGATTGGATCTCCGGCCTCGCTGCCCCCACGTCCGGAGGAGCTCGTCGTCACCTTGCATCGATTCATCCACCGTTGGGGTGCCCGAATCTCCTCTTCCTACTTCAGATCTTGTTCTACTGCTTCGCACCATGGAGGGGCGTGCCTCCTGAAGAGGCCATGGCGGCAGTGGGGACGCGATATGGCAGGTGGAGGCGGCCGGCGCGTTTGGGGAGGAAGAGAGGGAGGGGATGCGGTATGGTAGGTGGAGGCGGCCGGCGCGTTGGGGGAGGAAGAGAGGGAGAGGGGAGGCGGCTGCATCAATTTGGGAGCACTGGAAAGGGTAGGGTTTGTGCGGGGCGGTGACCAATGGGTGTGGCTCTCGCACGATCTCTCACAAACAGTGTGACGTGCACACGGCGTGCAGGGACAGGGTGCGCATGTACCGCGAAACGGTTGACCCAGCCAACCAGCACATCGCATGAGCCCACACGTCATTAGCCAATGCGAGGTTACCGCGCGGTGAAAACGAGCACCACAATCATCCGACGTTCTAGATCATGCAGAAGACTATTTTGACCACCATCCAACAGCCAATGAAGCAAGAAATCAAGGGAGCTCCCTGGGAGCGAGTTGGCTAGCCTCTATTTTTTTTAAATATGTTGCTTTGTGCTTACTAATAAATGCCAAATCATTGTTAATTAAAATTGGCTTTGATATACCTTGGGATCCGGTTGGATCCATTACTTGAGCACTTTATGCCTAGCTTACTGGCTTTAAAGAAAGCGCTGCCAAGGAGACAACCCGGAAGTTTTAGAGAGTCATTTATTTCTGTTGAGTGCTTTTATGAAGTTTAAAAACAAAAAAATATAGAGGGAACTTAAAAACTTTTTCACAAGAAGCGATTGGAAGTTATGCATTGGAGAAGTGAGGGTCGACCTTGAACATTTGTGGTTCATGCTCATGGAAACAATGTAAAAAATTTCATGAAGATTCTCACAAAGTAATTATCCCCTTGTACAATCCATTGTATTATAAAAATAATATGCCAATATTTTCCTTTAGGATGATTAGATTGCTTGTTGGTATGTGCGGTGCAAGAACAGAAACTTTAATTGTAGCGCATGAATTTTCATTTTTTACTGGAACATCAAACGGTCCTAAATTTATTGCATAGTATTTCTATACAAAATTTTATTTTGTACTAATTTTTCAGAATTTTTGAGTACCAGAGGTATGGTGAATGTTCAGATTACTACAGACTGTCCTATTTAAGACAGATTCTGTTTTCGATGCATTGTCGATTCCATAGGTAGTATAAGGCATGAAAAAGTCATAATACAGTAGCTACAATGCAAAAACAAAATATGAATTGGTTTTCAACATTACTTATAGTAGTGATTTGATTATTATACTAACAGATCTTACCGAGCTTTCTGTTGAGTTTTGTGTGGATGAAGTGATCAAAGATCGAGGAGGTCTCAATATGAGGAGAAGGAGGAGAGGCAAGAGCTCAAGCTTGGGGATGCCCAAGGCACCTTAAGTAAATATTCAAGGAGACTCAAGCATCTAAGCTTGGGGTGCCCCGGAAGGCATCCCATCTTTCTTCACCAAGTATCGGTATGTTGTCGTTCTCGTTTCGTTCATGTGATATGTGTGAATCTTGGAGCGTCTTTTGTGTTTAGTTTTCATTTTTACTTTTATGCACCATGTTGGTATGAGATAGTCCATGGTTGATTTATAGAATGCTCATTGCACTTCACTTATATATTTTGAGTGTGGCTTTATAGAATGCTTCATGTGCTTCACTTATATCATTTAAAGTTTCGATTGCCTGTTTCTCTTCACATAGAAAACCATTGTTTGTAGAATGCTCTTTTGCTTCACTTATACTTATTAGAGCATGGTCTTTTGTAGAAATAATTAAACTCTCATGCTTCACTTATATCTATTTATAGAGTCAACAAGAATTGGTCATTTGCATGGTTAGTCATAAAATCCTACATAAAACTTATGGATCACTGAATATGGTATTTTTGATTCCTTGCAATAGTTTTGCGATATAGAGATGGAATATGTGGGAGGTACTAGTAAACGGTTGTGATTAGTAAGATATTGGTGTTAAGGTTTGTGATTCCCAAACATGCACGTATAGTCTCTCGTTATGCTATGATGTTTGAGCATGATTTATTATTGATTGTCTTCCTTATGAGTGGCGGTCAGGGACGAGAGATGGTCTTTTCCTACCAGTCTATCCCCCTGGGGGCATGTGTAGTAGTACTTTGCTTCAAGAGCTAATAAACTTTTGCAATAAGTATATGAGTTCTTTATGACTAATGTGAGTCCATGGATTATACACACTCTTACCTTTCTGCAATTTGCTAGCCTCTATGGTACCGTGCATTGCCCTTTCTCACCTCGAGAGTTGGTGCAAACTTCATAGGTGCATCCAAACCCCGTGATATGATACGCTCTATCATACATAAGCCTTATTATATCTTCCTCAAAATAGCCACCATACCTACCTATTATGGCCCTTCCATAGCCATTCCGAGATATATTGCCATGCAACTTCCACTGCTTCCGTTTTGATGACTTGAGCATTCATTATCATATTGATTTGCATGATCGTAAGATAGCTAGCATGATATTTCCATGCCTTGTCCTTTTTTGATATCATTGTTATGCTAGATCATTGCACATCCTGGTACAATGCCAGAGGCATTCATACAGAGTCATATTTTGTTATAGGTATCGAGTTGTAATTTTTATTTGTTTTGAGTTATAAGTAAATAGAAGTGTGATGATCAACAATTTTCATTATTAGAGCATTGCCCAAGTGAGGTAAGGATGATGGAGACTACGATTCCCCCACAAGTCGAGACGAGACTCCGGACAATGAGAGAAAAAAATATAAAAGAAAGAAAAAAGAAAAAGAAAAGAAAAGAAAGAACAAAATTTAAAAAATAAAAAGAGAGAAGGGGCATGCTAGTTCCACACTTGTGCTTCAAAGTAGCACCATGTTTTTCATATGGAGAGTCTCCTATGTTGTCACTTTCATATACTAGTGGGAATTTTTCATTATAGGATTAGATGCACACCCACTTAGTTTTCATATTGAGCTTTCATACACTTATAGCTCTTTGTGCATTCGTTGCATGGCAATCCCTACTCCTAGCATTGGTATCAATTGATGGGCATCTCCATAGCCTGTTGGTTAGCCGCGTCAATGTGAGACTTTCTTACTTTTTTGTCTTCTCCATATTTACCCCTATCATCATACTCTATTCCACCCTTAGTGCTATATCCATGGCTTGCGCTCATGTATTGTGTGAGGGGTCAAAAGGCTGAAGCGCATTAAAAAGTATGAACCAATTGCTTGGCTTATTGATACGTCTCCAACGTATCTATAATTTTTGATTGCTCCATGCTATATTATCTACTGTTTTGGACATTATTGGGCTTTATTATCCACTTTTATATTATTTTTGGTACTAACCTATTAACCGGAGGCCCAGCCCAGAATTGCTGTTTTTTTTGCCTATTTTAGGGTTTCGAAGAAAAGTAATATCAAACGGAGTCCAAACGGCATGAAACCTTCGGGAACGTGATTTTCTCACCGAACGTGATCCAGGAGAATTGGACACTACGTCAAGAAACAAAGGAGGAGGCCACAAGGTAGGGGGCGCGCCTACCCCCCCCCCCTCCCAGGCGCGCCCTCCACCCTCGTGGGCCACCTGTTGCTCCACCGACGTACTCCTTCCTCCTATATATTCCTACGTACCCCCAAACGATCAGATACGGAGCCAAAACCCTAATTCCACCGCCGTAACTTTTTGTATCCACGAGATCCCATCTTGGGGCCTGTTCCGGAGCTCTGCCGGAGGGGGCATCCATCACGGAGGGCTTCTACATCAACACCATAGCCACTCCGATGAAGTGTGAGTAGTTTACCTCAGACCTTCAGGTCCATAGTTATTAGCTAGATGGCTTCTTCTCTCTTTTTGGATCTCAATACAATGATCTCCCCCTCTCTTGTGGAGATCTATTCGATGTAATCTTCTTTTTGCGGTGTGTTTGTTAAGACCGATGAATTGTGGGTTTATGATCACGATTATC